GGGCAAAACCTAGCAATATGTCCCGTATCGCCACAAGTATAACAAGCCCTCGATTGCCGAGACTGCTGACCCTGACGACCTGAATGACCACCCTGAAAACTCTGGAGCGACGGTGCACTGATAGGAGCTGGTGGTGCACTGTAGGACTGCTGATCAGAGTACTGCATATGAAAATCATGGCCACCTGAAGCACCGTGAGAAACCTGAAGTGCTGACTGAAAAGGCGTAGGAGGATGGCCCCTACCAAAAGAATCCCTGCCTCCAGATGAGGCACCACTGAACCTACCAGAATGACGAGGTCTCTTGTCTGACCCCTGACCACCTCCCTGTGATAGAACCATCTCAACTCTCCTGGCCACATTGGCCGCCTCCTGAAAAAGAAATCTCACTCCCAGTCTCCTTAGCCATCTGCAATCGAATAGGCTGAATGAACCCCTCAATGAACCTCCCCACTCTCTCTCTCTCAGTGGGAAGTATAAGAAGAGCATGACGGGCCAAGTCAATAAATCTGGTCTCGTACTGAGTAACAGTCATAGAACCCCGCTGGAGACGCTCAAACTGCCTCCGATAGTTCTCCCTCTGAGTGATAGGAAGAAACTTCTCCAGAAATAGCTGAGAAAACTGATCCCAAGTCAAAGCTGGTGACCCAACTGGTCTTGCCAAACAATAATCTCTCCACCAAGTCTTGGCGGATCCAGATAAGCGAAAAGCAGCAAAGTCGAACCCATTGGTCTCCACTATCCCCATGTTCCTGAGAACCTCAAGACAGCTATCTAAATAATCGTGGGGGATCCTCAGAAGATGCACTGCCATAAGTAGTAGTGAAGATCTTGGTAAAACCTATCCAACCTCCACAATGCCCCCGAAGATGTAGTTGATCCATCACCGGTCTGTGCTGCTGCTCGGCTGAAGAAGCGGTATGTGACCTCGCTATCCGCGAAAGAACAAGAGTAGAGGGTTCAATTTAGCATTGAGAGAACAAAATCGCACGATAGGAAAGAATAGATGTGAAGTTGTTCCTAACTCTGTAGCCTTTGGGGGATAAATACAGATGTCTCCGTACCGATCCCTCAGACTCTACTAAGCTTGTCCGTGAATTGTGAGACCTAAGTAACCTAGAGCTCTGGTACCAACTTGTCACGACCCGAATTTCCCACCCTCGGGAGTCGTGATTGCGCCTGCTAGTGAAAGCTAGGCAAGCCAACCATTTGTATTATTTACCCTTTTCCCATTTTAATCCTTTAACAATTAAGAACCAACATCATATAAACAGCGGAATTTAATAAGCGGAATGACTGAAAAGTAATATTTTAATAATGATACCAATACCAATCCATAACATAAACTACCCAGAACTGGTGTCACAATTTCACAGATTATCTAGGAATACTACAAATAAGGGTCCGAAAGATAAATACAACGCTGTCTCTGAAATACATAAAAGAAACATAGTGAAAGGATAGAAGGAGACGCCAAGGCCTGCGGACGCCTCTAGGACTACCTCGGGTCTCCAAATGGACTGAAGGCAGCAGCCCAAAGCTAAGGTCCGTATGCTCCAGTACCAGGATCTGCACAAAAGAGTGCAGAGTGTAGTATCAGCACAACCGACCCCATGTGCTGGTAAGTGCCTAGCCTAGCCTCGGCGAAGTAGTGACGAGGCTAGGACCAGACTACTAAATAAACCTGTGCAGTTAAATCATGTACAGCGGAAAATAAGGCAAAACATTACAATTAAAGATAGGAAGGGGAAACATGCTGCGGGGAAATATCAAGTAACAGCGGAAACCCAATAGATAAATGTAAAGAACACTATAACTAAATTATCAGCAAGAATCAGGAAATCAAGGACAAGTGCACGACATCACCCTTCGTGCTTTTACTCTCGTCCTCACCATAAGAATCAATATAATTGGCACGGCATCACCCTTCGTGCTTTTACCTCACATAATCATGGCACGGAATGATCCTTCATGCATTATCACTCATATATAGGCACGGAATTGTACATCGTGCGGCACGGCATCACCCTTCGTGCTTTAACACTCTCACAATTATCATGCACGACATCACCCTTCGTGCTTTAACACTCTTCCTCACTCAAACAACAATCACATAGCAATAAGGGCAAGGGAATCAATAGAATCACAATAAAATCCCGGCAAGGGAACATTAGTACCACAATCATATCCCGGCAAGGGAAACAATATCAAAAGCAATAACATCCTGTCAAGGGAGATAACATTAAAAGCAACAACATCCCGGCAAGGGAGACAATATCATAAACCTCTTCTCTTTTCCACATTTACTTCACAACTTGAGCCAATGCTCCAGAACGTTCAATTGCCAATTATACTTCCACAAATCATTTTACAACTTGAGCCAACGCTCTTCAAGGTTCAATTAACAATATTACTTGCACAATTCATTTTACAACTTGAGCCAACGCTCTTCAAGGTTCAATTACCAATAATACTTCCACAAGCCTCGTTCAACAATAGAAATCATCACATAAGGCATGAACAATACAATACGGAGTCACACTAATCATAGTATAAGACTTACGGGCATGCTTGACACCAACGCATAGGTACTCGTCACCATGCTTATACGTCGTACTAAACAGTTAACATATAGAAAATAGGACACAACTCCTAATCCCTCAAGCTAAGGTTAGACCAAACACTTACCTCGATGCCACGAACAAAATTCAAGCCTCAACTACCGCTTTACCTCTTGTTTCCACCACCAATTCGCTTGTATCTAGCCACAAGTTACTTAACTATATCAATAAATGCTAAATGAATCAATTCTAATGCATGAAAATAAGTTTTCCAATGATTTCCCCAAAAAGTCAAAAATCGACCCCGAGCTCACATGGTCAAAACCCGAGGTTCGAACCAAAACCCGATTACCCATTCACCCACGAACCCAAATATATAATTTGTTTTGAAATCGAACCTCAAATCGAGGTCCAAATCCCCAAAATTTGAAAAACCTAAGTTCTACCCAAAACACCTAATTTCCCCCATGAAAACCCTTGATTTTGAGTTGAAATCATGTGAAAAGATGTTATGTATTAAAGAAATCGAGTTAGAAATGACTTACAATCGATTTGGAAGAGTAGTTGTCTTTGCAAAATCGCCCAAAGGTGTTTTAGGTTTGAGAGGGTTTGAAAAATGAGAGATTTTCGGCTAAGTCATGATTTACATAGGCGCAGATATCGAAATTGCGAAGCCTGGTTCGCAAATGCGAACTCGCAATTGCGGCCAAAGCTTCGCAATTGTGAAGGATGGCCTATGTCTGCTTTGTTCGCAAATGCGAACAATGTTCGCAATTGCGATGTCTGTCAAGATCGCATTTGCGACATAAGCTTCGCAAATGCGAAGGTTCCCTATCCAGCCAGTCTTCGCAAATGCGAGCTCGCAATTGTGATCCAGGCTTCGCAATTGCGAAGCCTGCAAGTCTGCAATATACCAACAGTTTTCCTAAGTCAAATTTCACTCTGTGGCCTGTCCAAAACTCACCCGAGCCCTCGGGGCTCCAACCAAACATACACGCAAGTTCAAAAATATCATACGGACTTGCTCGTGCGATCAAATCATCAAAATAACATCAATAACTATGAATTTAGCATCAAAATCAAAGAAAAATCCCACGAACTCTTAAGTTCAAATTTTAACAACCGAAGGTCCGGTTCACGTTATTTCAAGTCCGTTTCTTACCAAATTTTACAGGGTCAACCTAAATACTCCCTCTATTCCAGTTTATGTGAACCTATTTCCTTTTTGGTCTGTTCCAAAAAGAATGAACCCTTTCTAAATTTAGTAACAATTTAGCTTAAACTTACAATTCTACCCTTAATAAGAAGCTTTTATAACCACACAAATACTCGGGGCCCCTTTTTGGCTTGTTTAGGGCCACAAATTCCAAAAGCCTTCATTTTTTCTTAAACTCCGTGCCCAGTCAAACAGGTTCACATAAATTGGAACGGAGGGAGTATCATATAAGACCTGTACCGGGCTCCGGGACCAAAATACGGGCCCTATACCATCAAATCCAATTACATTCAAATTTCCAAAAACTCTAGAAATTTCAGTTAAACAATTTTCTTCAAAAATTCATTTCTCGGGCTTGGGACCTCGGAATTCATTCCGGGCATACGCCCAAGTCCCATATTTTCTTACGGACCCTCCGGGGCCGTCAAATCGCGGGTCCGGGTCTGTTTACCCAAAATGTTGACCGAAGTCAACCTAAATTCATTTTAAAAGCAAAATTTATCATTTTTCAAAGATTTTCACATAATGGCTTTCCGGATACACGCCCGAACTGTGCACGCAAATCGAGGTGAGACAAAAAGGAGGTTTTAAGGCCTCGAAACACATAATTTATTTCTAAAATAAGTTATGACCTTTCGGGTCATCACAATCTACTTCTTTGATAACACTTTGAGGAAGTATAAAGATAGCTCCCCAAAAATTATATATTGCAAATAGTACTGCATTTATAACTTGAAGTCTACATGCGTAGGATAACTATTTTGCATAACCTGGCTGAATTCTCTTTGTAATCTTCTCCACTAGTTGATGGCATTTTACTTTGCTCCACTTCTTTGATGTTAAAGGTAACCCTAGATACCTCATAGGTAATGTACCCACTGAGAACCCTGTGTTACTTAGGATTGTCTGCTTTGTATCCTCATCCATTCCTGCTAGGAAAATATTTGATTTCTCCATGTTAGCCACCAATCCTGAAACTTCACTAAAGTGATTCACTACTTCCATCATCCTGTGAATGGACTGAATATTGCCTTTGCAAAACAACATCAAGTCATCTGCAAAGATTAGGTGAGTCAACTTTGTACTCTTGCACATATGATGAAACTGAAAATCTGGGAGCTCACTCATTTTATTCAACCCTCTAGATAGATGCTCCATGACAAGAACAAACAGTAATGGAGACATAGGATCCCCCTATCTAAGCCCTCTCTTCCCTTCAAAATATCAAAAACCTCCACCATTCACTTTTACTGTGAATGTAGTTATTGTAACACACACCATGATCAATTGTATGAATGGCATAGGAATTCCATAGCCTTTAAGCACTTCCTCCCGAAATTCCCATCTAACCATATCATAGGCTTTCTTTAGATCAATCTTCATCAAACACCTTGGAGTAGTCTTCATGTTGTAATGCCCCAATAGGTCATGACATATAAATACATTATGAATGAGAGATCTTCCTTCTATGAATGCTGCTTGGTTGTCTGCTACAATCAGCGGAATGGCTTTCTTACGTCTCCTACAAATGATCTTAGAAATGCACTTGTAGAGTGCATTGCAACATGAGATAGGCCTGAATTGGCTAGCCTGCAAGGGATTCTCCACTTTTGGTATAAGAGCTATGCTTGTTGAGTTTATCCGAGTAAGTCGTTGCCCATTGTCAAGGAATTCCAGCACTGCATTGGTCACCTCCTAACCAACGATTGACCATGATTAGGGGTGTTCATAAAAACTCGAAAAATCGAACCAAACGGAAAACCGAACCAAACCGACCATAAAAACCGATACTTTTTATGTTTGGTTTGGTTTGGTTTTGGTTTTGAATTTTAAAAACCGATCACAATTGGTTTGGTTTTGGTTTCAATAAAAAAATAACCGAAAAAAAACCCGAACCAAACCGACTATAAAAGTAGCTATTTAAGTTTATTATTACACCTATATATATATATATATATATATATATATATATATATATATATTTTTATACAAAATTTCAAAAATTTAATTGTAAATGTTACTCCCTCCGTTCCAATTTATGTGAACCTGTTTGACTGGGTACGGAGTTTAAGAAAAAATGAAGACTTTTGGAATNTATATATACACATATATATATATATATATATATATATATATATATATATATGTATATTTTTATATAAAGTTTCTAAAATTTTATGGTACATATTAGTCATTTATATTTTTAGTCTAGTTCTTTGCTATTATAATCATATAATTCTTTGCCTGTACATTCTAGTCTGATTGGTAGTTTTCTTTTGCTAAGTACAAGAATTTATTTCATGTTAAAAATAATAGATTTTTAATCGATACTTAAATTATTCATCAATATATCTTGGTAATGATAGATTTCTCAAAGAGAAATTGATTTGATAGTGTTACGTTAAAAATTTTAGTCGCCGGAATATGCATTTGGTAATGTATGTCTCATATTTAAGAAAAAATCCAATAAATAACCGAAAAAACCGAAAAACTGAAAAAAATCGACAAAAACGGAATCGATAAAAAATCGACTTAATTGGTTTGGTTTGGTTCTAATATTTGAAAAACCTACTTACTTGGTTTGGTTTCTTTTTAGGGAAAAACCGACCCAAACCGAACCATGAACACCCCTAACCATGATGCTTTATAAAAACCACCCCCGTAGCCATTTGGTCCTGGACTCTTTGTTTCATTTATACTGAACATAGCAACCTTTACTTTTGCAACTGTATATGGCCTTACCAATTGCATTTGTTGAGTAATTGACAGTGTCTTTCCATTCTTCATAAAACTTTGAGAGGCATGTGTCCTGAATACCCTTTGTTCTTAACAGCTCTTGATAATAGTCCACAAATATCTCTGCTATCTCCTCTTGATCTGATTTCATTCTTCCAAACTTGTCAACTAGTTGAATTATAGCTTCTTGTAATCTTCTGTGTTTTATCACTGAAAAAAAGTATCTATTATTGTCATCTCCCAACTTGATCCATGTTGCTCTGCTCCTCTGTAGAAGGAATACTTCTGCCATGTAAGAAGATCTTTTGTACCTTTGTAACTTCTGCAATTCTTCTGCCTGCAGCCGAGCATCCAGTTGATTCCTATGAAGTTTTGCTTGAGCTTTAGCCAAAGCGATTCTATCTGCATCAGCTACTTCAACAATGTTGCTGAAATACCTTCTATATAGCACCTTTAGTTTTTGCTTTAGCGTCTTTAGTTTCTTAACCACTCTGAACATAATACACCCTACTATATCCTGCTCCCATCCCTCCTTAACTACATCAATAAAGTTTGGATGAGTAGCCCAAACATTGCAATATTTGAAAGCAGCTTTTGCCCCCTAGGTGAATTTGTACTTAATAGCTTGAGTGGACAATGGTCACTTATCCCCTCTTCTAGATATTGTGCCATGTATACTGGCATTGAATTGAACCATACTGTATTGATGAACACCCAGTCAATCTTTGATAAGTTCCTACTGTCATTATGTATGTCATTCCATGTTGTCACGATCCCAGTTCGCCCTCCGTGAACTATCGTGACGGCACCTAGTCCCTACGACTAGGTAAGCCTATCAATACGAAAAATAAACTAAACTTGTGGAATAAAAGTCAAAAGCCAAAACTAACTGAAGGAAACTATATTTAGATGCCGCTCGGCATATACACACAACTTCTCAAAATCTGATACACTATCCCAAAACTCGAAAACTCACGGATCCACAAGCTGTGATAACACTACATAGTTATAATCTCCAGAATGTCTAACAATAACAGAAAGTACAGAAGGGCTGAGTACGAAAAGCAGGAATAGAAGAGACTCCTCGGTCTGCGGACGCGGCAGATATACCTCGAAGTCCCGTAGAATCGCCTCGCCTCAAGAATGGTAAGCCTGAGTAGAGATACCTGGATCTGCACATGAAAGACATGCGCAGGAAGGGCATGAGTACACCACAGCGGTACTCAGTAAATGCCAAGCCTAACCTCGGTTGGGTAGTGACGAGGAAGGTCAGGGACCTACTGAGGTTAAATAAGCTATAAGGTTTAACAGTGTGAAATAAACAGTGTAAATAAGTAACACAAGATATAAAGGACATAAACAACTATCACAGAGGCAAGTAAAACACAGTAAGAGAACACAACTCAGCTCCAATATAACAACCGGGGATCTCCCAGGATACCGTCCCGTAGTCCCCAAATAAAAATATCATATCCAGTGGATCTCCCGGGTGCAGTCCTGTAGTTCAACGCATAACTGTGCAGAGGGGATCTCCCGGAGTACAATTCCGTAGTCCCAAAGTTAACATACAGGGGAGCTCCCGGGATACCGTCCCGTAGTCCCAAAGTAAAAGTGCAGGGGGATCTCCCGGAATACCGTTTCGTAGTCCCAAGGTAAATACACAGCAACAACAAGAATTCAATAAATGCTAAATTTCGTACTAAGTAAACAGATAAGTCTAGCCTAACATGCTTCACGTAATGCAATTAAGGCAATTTTAGCAAATAGGCAATTAAGTAAACTAAACATGCTTTTCTAAACTAACAACGGGCTAAATATGCAAGTATAATGAAACAGGAGAAGGAACTCAATTGAAATACTTAAAGAAAATCGGATTTTCAACAATTAGCTCAAGTACGCGCTCGTCACCTCACGTACGAGGCATTTCAATTACCACGATATCAATCCTAAGGGGAAAGGTCCACCATACAATGTTAGACAAGCCACTTACCTCGAACAAGTGCAGGTCAACCCGAAACCACGCCATTGCCACGAGTATCCGACTCCAAATGGTCCAAATCTATTCAATTCAATTTTATAATGTAAATAACACTTCAAATAACTGATTCTATAATTAAATTCTAAGCTAAGACGCGAAATTAGGTAAAATGACCAAAACGTCCCTCAGGCCCACATCTCAGAATCGGGTAAAATTTACATTTTTGGAATCCTCATACTCTCACGAGTTCATACATACCAAAAACACTGAATTCCGAGCCAAAATGACCCCTCAAATTCTCATTTCAAGGTCTCTTAATCCCAAGCCCTAAATCCCACAATTACCACTGATTTTCCTTAATTTTTCATGCTTAGGATGATAAAAATCACTATAATAACGAGTTTTGGGACCAAAGACCTTACCCCAATGGACTCCTCTGAAAATCCCTCTTGAAAAATGCTCCAAAAGCTTCTTCCCATTTGCAAAGAGGTGAAAATGACTAAATTTCGCGAAGACAAGAAAATATAGGTTCTGCCAAGCGATTTACGCATTTGCGGCCCTGGGACCACACCTGCGGTCCCGCTTCTGCGGAGTCTTAGTCGCATCTGCGACTTTCATTAAAGTGGCCAGAAACCGCATCTGCGGTTGCCCTTCCGCAGATGCGCCTCCGCTTCTGCGGTTATTCTTCCGCATCTGCGGAACCTGAAGGAAAATCCAAATTTCGCTTCTGCGGCCCTCTACGCCGCATCTGCAGTTCCAAGACCGTAGATGCGAAAATACCAGAAGAACAGCTGCTGCACAACTTCAACTCCAAAATTTCCTCCGTTAACCATCCGAATTCATCCCGAGGCCCCCAGGACCTCAACCAAAGGCATTAACATATGCTAAAACCTTTTTCAAACTTGTACCAATCTTCAAAACTCTCAAAACAACATCAAAATAACCAAAATACATCGGATTCAAGCCTAAGTTTCTAAAATCTTCTGAATTCCGCTTTTGATAAAAAACCCAACCAAACCATGTCTGAATGACCTGAAATTTTGCACACACATCCCTAATGACACAACGGAACTACTGCAACTCTCGGAATTCCATTCCGATCCTCGGATCAAAATCTCACTATCAAACCGAAAACTTTAAAATTCGACCTTTCGTCATTTCAAGCCTAAATTAGCTACGGACCTCCAAAACACAAACCGAACACGGGCCTAAGCCCCAAATCACCTAGCGGAGCTAACGGAACCATCGGATTTCAATTCCGAGACCGTCTTCACACTGTTCCGACTATGGTCAACTTTCTAACACTTAAGCTCTCATTTAGGGACTAAGTGTCCCAAAACTCTCCGAACTCAAAACCGAACATCCCGGCAAATCGAAATAGCAGAAATAAACTTGGGGGAAGCAGTTAATTGGGGATCGGGGCGTAAATTCCAAAAACGACTGGCCGGGTCGTTACATCCTCCCACACTTAAACATTCGTTCGTCCTCGAACGAGCACAAAGACATACCTGAATTAGTGAAAAGATAGGGGTACTGGCTGCGCATATCCTGCTCGGTCTCCTAGGTCGCCTTCTCAGCCGGCTGACCCCGCCACTGAACCTTCACTGATGCAATGTTCTTTGACCTCAGCTTCCTGACCTGCCTGTCCAGTATTGCCACAGGCTCCTCAACATAAGATAGATCCTTTTCCAACTGGACTGAGCTGTAATCTAACATGTGTGACAGATCACCGTGATACCTCCGGAGCATCGAAACATGAAAAACCGGATGAACTCCTGCCAAGCTGGGAGGTAAGGCAAGCTCGTAAGCAACCTCCCCAACACGCCTCATTATCTCAAAAGGGCCAATAAACCTCGGACTCAACTTCCCCTTCTTCCCAAATCTCATAATGCCCTTCATGGGCAAAACCCGAAGCAGAACCCGCTCTCCAACCATATAGGAAACATCACGAACCTTCCGGTCCGCGTAACTCTTCTGTCTGGAGTGGGCTGTACGGAGTCTGTCCTGAATCACCTTGACTCTCTCCAAAGCATCCTGAACCAAGTCTGTGCCCAATAATCTGGCCTCACCTGGCTCGAACCAACCCATCGGAGATCTACATCGCCTACCATATAAGGCCTCGTACGGTGCCATCTGAATACTGGACTCATAGCTGTTGTTGTAGGCAAACTCCGCCAATGGCAAAAACTGATCCCAAGAACCCCCAAACTCAATCACACACGCACGGAGCATATCCTCAAGAATCTAGTAGTGCGCTCGGACTGTCCGTCCGTTTGAGGGTGAAATGCTGTGCTCAACTCCACCCGAGTACCCAACTCCTGCTGTACGGCTCTCTAGAATCACGATGTGAACTGAGTACCTCTGTCTGAAATGATGGAAACTGGAATACCATGCGGACGGACAATCTCTCGGATATAAATCTCCGCCAACCGTTCCGAGGAATAGGTAGTACACACAAGGATGAAATGCGCGGACTTGGTCAGCCGATCCACAATAACCCAAATGGCATCGAACTTCCTCAAAGTCCGTGGGAGCCCAGATACGAAGTCCATGGTGATCCGCTCCCACTTTCACTCCGGGATCTCTATCTGCTGAAGCAATCCACCCGGTCTCTGGTGCTCATACTTCACCTGCTGACAATTAAGGCACCGAGCTACAAACCCAACTATATCCTTCTTCATCCGCCTCCACCAGTAGTGCTGCCTTAAATCCTGATACATCTTCGCAGCACCCGGATGAATGGAATACCGCGAACTATGGGCCTCCTCTAGAATCAACTCCCGAAGCCCATCAACATTGGGTACACAAACTCGACCCTGCATCCTCAATACTCCATCATCACCAATAGTCACATCTCGAGCATCGCCATGCAACACTTTGTCCTTGAGGACAAGCAAATGAGGGTCATCAAACTGACGCTCCCGGATACGATCGAACAAGGAAGACCGAGAGACCACACAAGCTAGAACCCGACTGGGCTCCGAAAGGTCCAATCTCACAAACTGGCTGGCTAGGGCCTGGACATCCATCACAATAGGCCTCTCTGCTGCTGGTAAATAAGCCAAACTCCCCAAACTCTCTGCCCGGCGGCTCAAAGCATCGGCCACCACATTGGCCTTGCCCGGGTGATACAAGATAGTGATGTCATAATCCTTCAGCAGCTCTAGCCATCTCCTCTGACGCAAATTAAGATCCTTCTGCTTGAACAGATGCTGCAAACTCCGGTGATCAGAATATCTCACAAGGCACACCGTACAAGTAATTATGCCAGATCTTCAAGGCATGAACAATGGCAGCTAACTCAAGATCATGGACAGGATAATTCTTCTCATGTATCTTCAACTGTCTGGATGCGTAGACAATCACCCTACCGTCCTGCATCAATACCGCTTCAACGCCAACTCTCGAGGCATCACAATAGACAGTATAAGACCCCGAACCGGTAGGCAATATCAAAACTGGGGCTGTAGTCAGGGCTGTCTTGAGCTTCTGAAAGCTCTCCTTGCACTCTTCCGTCCACTGGAACGGAGCACCCTTCTGGGTCAGTCTGGTCATAGGTGCTGCAATAGATGAAAACCCCTGAACAAATCGACGGTAATAACCCGCCAAGCCAAGAAAACTACGGATCTCTGTAGCTGAGGATGGTCTGGGCCAACTCTGCATGGCCTCCACTTTCTTCGGATCCACCTGAATACCCTCTCTCGAGACCACATGACCCAAGAACGCCACGGAATCCAACCAAAACTCACATTTTGAGAACTTAGCATACAACTTCTTCTCTCTCAAGGCCTGGAGCACTGTCCTCAGGTGCTGCTCATGATCTTCCCGACTCCGGGAATATACCAGAATGTCATCAATAAAAACGATCACGAATGAATCAAGATATGGCCGGAAAACACTGTGCATCAGATGCATGAAGGCTGCTGGGGCATTAGTCAGCCCAAATGACATAACAAGGAACTCGTAATGACCATACCGAGTCCTGAAGGCAGTCTTCATGATATCTGGCTCCCGAATCTTCAACTGATGATAGCCTGAATGCAAGTCAATCTTAGAAAACACACAAGCACCCTGCAACTGGTCGAACAGGTCATCAATACGAGGCAAAGGATAGCGGTTCTTCACTGTCACCTTATTCAACTGGCGGTAATCAATACACATGCGCATAGAACCATGCTTCTTCTTCACAAATAACACAGGAGCACCCTAAGACGATACACTGGGCCGAATGAAACCCTTATCAAGTAATTCCTGCAATTGCTCCTTCAACTCCTTCAACTCAGGAGGAGCCATACGATACGGAGGAATAGAAATGGGCTGAGTGCCCGGCAACAGATCAATGCCAAAATCAATGTTTCAATTGGGTGGCATGCCTGGAAGATCAGCTGGAAACACATCAGGGAAATCCCGTACTACTAGGACTGAATCAACAGAAGGAGTATCCATACTGGCATCTCTCACATAAGCTAAGTACGCATCACAACCTTTCTCAACCATACGCTGAGCCTTAAGGAAAGAAATAACTCTACTGGGAGTGTGGCCTAAAGCACCCCTCCACTCAATACGCGGTACACCTGGCATGGCTAGTGTCACGATTTTGGCGTGACAATCAAGAATAGCATAATGGGGCAACAACCAGTCCATGCCAAAGATAATATAAAAATCAACCATGCTGAGCAACAGTAAGTCGGCTCTGGTCTCAAAACCACCAAGAATAACCAAACATGACCGGTAAACGCGGTCCACAACAAGAGAATCTCCCACAGGAGTAGAAACATAAACTGGGGAACTCAAAGAATCCCGAGGTACACCCAAATGTGGGGCAAAATAAGAAGACACATAAGAATAAGTGGAGCCTGGATCGAATAGAACCGATGCATCTCTGTGACAGACCAAGATAGTACCTGTAATGACAGAATCGGAGGCGACAGCCTCAGTACGGGCTGGAAGCGCATAATATCTGGCCTGGCCTCCCCCTCAAGGGCGACCTCTACCTCACCGACCTCTACCCCTAGCTGGCTGGGCCGGTGGAGTAGCAACTGGCGCTGGGACCATAGCTTGGGAGCTCTGCGGGGCCTGCTGTGGCTGAGGAGTCTGTGGAGGTGCACCCCTCCTGAGTCTGGGGAAATCCCTCACTATATGGCGTGTGTCACCACACTCAAAACAAGCTCTGGGAGGACGTGGCGGCTGTGACTGGCTCGGGCCAGGTCTGCTGGACTGACCACTGGAAGCACCCCGTGCAGGAGGCGCACTAGAGACTGGAGGTGCATAATAAGGCTCCTGAGGCCTAGGTAGAGATGGAATACCACTGGCTGCTGGAAGAGCTGAATGAACGGGGCGACCCATATGACCCCTACCATGACGACCTGCAGCCGGGTACGGGCACTAGAATAATGACCCGACTCTCGAGACCTCTTGGCCTCCCGCTCCTCTCTATCCCTAGCATGCATACCCTCAATCCTCCTAGCAATGCTCACCACCTGCTGATAAGATATATCCATCTCTAACTCATGAGCCATGCTAGACCTGATGCTGGGAATAAGCCCCTCAATGAACCGGCGAACCTTCTCGCGAACCGTAGAAACCAAAGCTGGTGCATGTCTAGCCAAGTCGATGTAACAGACATCATACTCCGAGACAGTCATAGTACCCTGGCGCAAATGCTCAAACTCCGCGCGCCAGGCATCCCTAAGACTCTGGGGGACATACTCCCTCGTGAACATATCTGAAAACTGAGCCCAAGTCAGGGAAGCTGCCTCGTCCGGACTGTCTAACTCATAAGCACGCCACCACTGATAGGCGGCTCCTCGAAGCTGGAAAGTAGTGAAGGAAACCCTGCTCGATCCTGATATGCCCATAGTACGGAGAATACGGTAGCACTCCTCCAGAAATCCCAAGGCATCCTCTGATGCTAACCCACTGAGTACAAGAGGATCATATTTCTTTAACCTCTCAAGTCTCCGCTGCTCATCCTCTGAAGCCGCTGCCCTATCCTCGGGCTGAACTGGTACTGCAGGAGGCGCAGGAATAACCTCTGGGACCTGCTCAACATGCACTCGCTGCTCAAGAGTGCGGGCGGCGGGAGTTTGTACTCCTCCCTCGGCCTGGGATGTGGCTGCAGCAAGGGGAAGCAACCCTGCCTGAGCCAAAGTAGAGTACATGCTCATAAACTGTGCCAAAGTCTCCTGGAGTGCTGGAGTAGTAGTGGCAGACGTATCAAGTGTTTGGACTCCTGCTGGTACTACTGGTGGTACCTCGGCGGCAGCTCGCGCGGGTGCTCTGGCTGCACCACGAGCGCGTCCTCGGCCTCTACCCTGGCCCTGACCTCTGACGGCTCCAGTAGGGGGTGCGGGTGCCTGGTCATCTCGAGTAACACGTGTCCTCACCATCTGTGAGAGAATAGAAAGACAGAAGCTTAGAATTGGGATATCAAAAATCTCGCACGATAAGGAACTCAAACGAAGTGAAAATTTTCCTAACAGTTACATAGCCTCTCGTAGATAAGTACAGACGTCTCCGTATCGATCAGCGAGACTCTAATAAACCGGCTTGTGATCCATGACTCCTATGAACCTAAAGCTCTGATACCATCTTGTCACGACCCCAGTTCGCCCTCCGTGAACTATCGTGACGGCACCTAGTCCCTACGACTAGGTAAGCCTAACAATGCGGAAAATAAACTAAACTTGCAGAATAAAAGTCAAAAGCCAAAACTA